GAAATCAAAGTTGTCCAGCTGACAATTCTATTGTCTTTAGAAGTTTCAAAAACAATCTTTCTGAGAAAATTTCCAAACTTGTATGGCTTGATTCCAACTTTTTGGCACTAGCGGCTTCAGTAGAATTGAGCTCAGATGTTTCATCATTCTCATTAATTGTGGCACGAATGGTATAACGATTTCCAGCAAATCGGCGCTTCTTAGACCTCCCAGATCTTGATTTAGCCATAATTAATCAATATTTGTCTTAAGAAAGACAGTTTTTTTCATAAAATATATCAAAATAATAAATTAAACGAGGAGCGAAGAATCGAGTAGCTACAACATAAGCAAATCGAAAAATGACAACAAACCTGTAAAGTTGCTAAATTTTATTAAAAACTATTAAATAATTTTTTAAAAGAATATCACCATATTCAGTTTTAATGTTACCAAAATTAATATTTTATAAATAAATTCAATAAAATTCCAAAAAAAGTAAAAAATCTTTCAAATTCAAAGTACTTCCGGTTTCGATTTCAACTTCCGGTTGTTTTTGGTGTTCTCACTTGACATAAAAACTGCTATAACTTCGTAAATAATTGGAGTACAAGCAAAAGTAAGGTATTTTTAGAAAGAAGAAAATTCAAATATTAAAAATATCAAATAAAAATTTTTTTGTCATGTTCATCAAAATTGACGATTTTACACTAGTCAGGCACCTTAAATATAAACACTCAGTGATTTAATGGTAAAGCTCAGAAGTAGCAGATAGGCTCTTTATAAAATAGTATATATTTCAGTTTCAATATTTTCGAACAGATTTAGTTAAGCACATTTCAAAGGAGTATCCGAAGATACGAGAAGGGATAGAAACTTCTGTTCAAATAACAGAGGCTGTTTTAGGATTATTAAGGAACCTTGAAATCTCTTCGCCAGGTGCTGGGAGTCAGGGAGGGGTGTTCAAAATCTTCAGGGGGGGTGCGTGATGTCAGGTTGATGCATTAAGGGTGGCCGGGGTGATCGAAAGTTTAAGAACCATTGTTCTAAAATATTTTATTAGAATAAGAAATCATAAAAATTAATTACTGAAATGAAGCACACGAAAAAAAAATTATATTCATATTTGTGCAAAAGCATTTTTATTAGCTTCCAAATCCTTGTTGTAGTTTGAACAAAACCACATCGCGGTTCTAGAAAAAATCTACTCGATTCCCTTTAATTTGATTTTCTGCGAAGATTTCCTCCCATGTTTCAAGAATTTTCTAACCGCCAACGCACATTTCCTTTCCACAGGAGTCCTAATCTGAAAAGAAAGCGATCGAAAGAAGGCGCTCGAATAGGGCCACCCCGTTCATTCCAATCGGATCTGCATACCAACAGACCTCCTGAACTATATCTGCTGGTTATGCCCCAGTACCTCCGAGCCCTTTCGTTTGATCCGCCCCGTCGGGGGTCAAGATCGCAGATAAGATCCTGAAAGATCCCAAATGGGTCATTTTTGTTCTTTGTGTTGCAAAGGTATAATTTGTGGGAATTCAACTCAGAGTCATGGATTTTTGTAAAGCCAAAATACTTTTGACCTTCAAAACAAATGACTGAAACTAAAACGAATCTTATGTTAAAAATAAATTTAATTCAATCATTTTTTAAAAAAAATTGTTAAACAAATTCAATTTTGTTGAAAATTGAGTTTGAAATGGAAGAAAAACCAACACATTTTCATTGTATTAAAGCAGTGGTCTTGAAACTTTGTCGACAACATGGGGTGTGTTGGGGGTCCAAGCTTAGAATAATATGTATAAATAATATTTAAAATAAATCCATGTATTATAAGTATTTCAAGTATAAACAATTAAAGCATAATATGATGCTTCTTGTTAAAATTTATTAAAATAATATTAATGTAATTTACTCATTAATTGATTATAGAAGAGTAGACGACACTTGGAGCATCCATTCGTGCTTCAGGTGTAACTGGAAGATGTTTTGACTCTTATCCAAGCTCATTTCATATTCTGCTTCCAGTGGCGTCTATATTTTGTCCACACATATATATACGCTGAGAAATATTTTGAACTTAAATACACACAATGTTTATTACTCAGTGGCGTAACATACACTCTCGCATTGCGGGGGAGGGGAGGGGAAAGCTTGACTGTGTGTGACGCCAAGTACGTATGTGGGCTTGGGGCCCAAACCTGAGTTTGCAGGGAGGCCCTAATATTCCCGCCATGCTACTGTTGTTACTGTTTGAGAATCTCTGTGTATTCTGCAAATTTGCAACCCCCAAATGAAGAACTGTTCCTGCTTCAATTTAGGTTTCAACGTCGAATCTGTTGATATGTCCGGTAAATTGTTCCTTCTCCTTCACATTGGCGAGACTTCTGATGTATCCATACATGCACACTTTCGTCTCCTTGGAAATATTATTTCACAGACATTTTTTTAAAAAAATTTTTTAGAAAATGTTCTCTTGTAGGCCTTTTTTGTTACATATTTTTATTCATTTATCTTTTAACCAATGGAAAAAAGTGCTGAATAGTATAGTGCTGTAAAAAGAATACTTTTTTAATACTGTCACTAAATCCAATTCATTAAATTCTATTCCACTTAGTTTTGAGAAATATTGCACTAACCAGTACAACATTATTTTGAGTATTATAAACAACAAATATATTCCTTATCTAGGGAGTAAATATAAGAAGAAAAAAAAGGTTTTAATATTCTTTTATCATATTATAATAAAAGTGGCAGGAAATTTCTAAAAATAGGGACTGTCCTGTGTGTGTGGATCCGCATTGGGTAACACGGCTTTAGATTCTTGGGTTCATACAAATTCCATAGATAACGTTCCTACACGTTGATAGTTTTCTTTTCGAATTTTTAGTTTGAATCTTGGAACCCCAAGGGTTCTGTGGAACACATTTTGAAGACCTTAGAAAATGTTAGTTAAAACTGATTTGTGTGTGTGCAAAATTCAACAACTGTCCGTTTTACGAGAAAAGCAATCGCTTGTCCCATCACTCCAATCAATTCTTATTTTTCGTATTATGAAATTTAAATAAAGTTTCGTTCCAATAACTTTTTTAATAGTTTTTTTTAAACATAAATTCCTTTTTCTAGTAGAGTAAAACATTCCATTTCGATAATGTTTTTGTAGTAGTCAAAGTTCAAGAATTCTCTAGATTTTTTTAATGACTGTAATTTATATTAAAGGGATACAGTACGATTCAAATGAGAACAATCGGTTAAAAATGCACATTAAAATTTGCTTAGGCTACATTATTCTCATATTCTATAATCTCACAAAATTTGCAAGCTCTGAGTTAAAATTAATCCAGAATTACGATACGTTTTATGTTCGTTTTTATTCACATCCCACTGGCAAATAAAGACTTCAGACTGATTTATCTCAAAAAGAAGGGGGAAAAAAAAAAACAATTTATCTTCATTTAAAATGCTCAAGATTTTTTCCCCCCGATTGTGTCAAAATCTTTTATATTTTTTACACCTACTGCTACTAGTATATGTAACAAAAGTTCGTATGCATTTTTGAATGAAAACGATACTTATTTTTAAAAAATTATTGAATTTAGAATGTATACATTTTTAAAGGAATTTTCAATAAACATTTATAAAAAAAAGTATCTTACGAATTGGAATCATGTTAGCAAAAAACCCATACCGACTTTTAAAATACATAATTTGACTTACTGGTAAATCAAATTTCTTGTGTGTACGTTAATTATTGTTGAAGGTATATTATTTTAAAATGCCATCGTAAATTTTTAAATTTTTCCTTAAAAATTAAATAGCTAGCTGTTTGTAGTATTTTGAGCAGAAAAACTGTTTTACAAAACAAGCAAAAAAAGTTTTAAAGAAATTATAAAATTTAATAAAAAAAAAAATATTGTTTTTAAACATGCTTATATACACATAATAAAAAAAATTCTTTTTGAAAAAATTTAGTTTTATATATATTTTTATATAGCGCTTTTGGGAAAAATAATAAAAAAACAATAATAATTTTCGCACTGTTAAAAAGATACATTTTTTTGATGGGGGAGGATACAAGTTCCAAGTCATGTTGAACAACACACAAAGTTAGCGGCACTAGATTTTAAAATATCAATGCTAATTATTGTAACTTCAAATGAATGAGATGACCATGTGACGAAAAGGGTCATTTCTTTCAATTACATATTGTTGGATTTCAAACACTGAAAAAAATTGCAAATGCTTTTTAAAAATGAAATCCGTTTTTAACTGTTGCTCCGATTTTACATCTGTTGAATTTGTTATATCTCATTTTGTGATAATAGTATTATTGATTATTTTATGAGAAAAGAAGAAAGATATATATAAAGATAAGAAAAAAGGTAGGAATTACACCTACACACATAGTATGGGTTTCTACTGTTATATATCTTCTGAAGGTGTCAGGATGGCCGAGCGGTCTAAGGCGCCAGACTCAAGGATGCTCCCTTGCTCTGATGCAGAGCTTTGAGTGTTCTGGTCCACGAATGTGGGCGTGGGTTCGAATCCCACTTCTGACAGCGTTCTTTTCTGTACTATGCACATATTTTTGCTTTCTTTCAGTAAATACTCCTTTTTTTCTTAGTTAAAAGTTTTGTAAAACAATTGTTTTTTGTCGTGTCTCGGTACAGAAAAAGAAAACAAAAAGTTGTACGTGAAAATGATGGCGCCATCTATCATAGCTATTCGTAAATATATACTGATAAATAAGAATAATAATTATAAATTTAATATAATAACAAGACATTGTTGTGACATCATGCTCTGGCAGTATTTTCCCGCCAAAATATGTATGCACCTTTATTTCGACTTGAGTCAAAGCTTTCTATTTTTCTCAAACGTGACTAATTCGAAATGTAATAATTGAATTTAGACCGTAGAGTCAAAAAAGAATAGTTATAAGTACTTTATAAAGAGCAAAAAGAATTTATAATGTACAAAATATACCAAGGCATTACTTTCAAAATGTTAATTACCTATTGTGTCAGGATGGCCGAGCGGTCTAAGGCGCCAGACTCAAGGAAACTCCCTTGCTCTGTAGCAGAGCTTTGAGTTTTCTGGTCTACGAAAGTGGGCGTGGGTTCGAATCCCACTTCTGCAACTTTCTCTTTCGTAGTATGTACATATTTTTTCTTCCTTTTCTTCTGTTTATTTTTTACTCAAGAGAAAGGTATGCAAAAATGTGATTGTAATTTTTTTCTCAAGGGCTTTATTTTCCTAATTAATACTTATGATTTATTTTACTTATTAAATATTTTAGAAAATTAGAAGCTTTCTCAGTTGCTTTATGACAAATTTTAACATTTGAGCTATTACATATGATTTAAGAACTCAAAAGATTGATAGTACATAAAATATGTTTCCAAAAAAAAAAAAAAAATCGTTTGGTTCGAATGGAATAAAATTATCAAAAAAAAAAAAAAAAAAAAAAAAAAAAAGCCAATTAAACCTGTATTTCCTAAAAAGTTTTTTGTCGTGAAACTTTTTTGGGCTCAAGAATGAATGAGAAAATTGCCCAGTTTTGCGTAACAGTGAAAAAGCGAATGGAATTAGTCTTTCCCTAACCCCCGATTCGTCGCCATAGTAAGGAGAGAGCCAGAGGAGGAAAAGGGAGAGGGAGATACCGCTTGACTTGTGTCATATCGGTGAAAAAGTTGAGTAATTGCCCACGTCTCGGACTGGTCAACTCACCCACCTTCCGATAAGAGGTCCTTTTCCCCAGACCTGGGAACATTATCAGGGGTCGTATCAGTCGTAGTGTGAGCATTACGGCGTAAACAAAATAGCTCTCGCAGCAAAAGCGTGCCTTTTAGAAATTTTCTTCAGATTGTTGGCTACATGGCGACGTGTTCGGTGGCTAATTTATTTCTTTAATTTTAATTTGCGTTGAATTATTATTAATTCTAGTCAGAATGCCTAAATCATATGCACAAAGAGGAAAAGAGTTTCGTGAAAGAAAAAAAAAAGGAAAGAAAACTAGCAGCAAGTTCACAGTCGAAAGAAAGTGACAAAAAAAAAAAAAAACAGAATAATTGTGCAAATTCATCAAGTGCTATTGCCAAATCTCGATCAGAGTACATGAGAGAATATCAAGCAGAGTAAAAACATTGCAAAATACTCTCTTAATGCCGAGTTTATTTGATTTGAATTTTTTTAACAAATATAATAGCAAAACATAAAATTAATAAGGCTTTCATGTCTAAGAAATATGCAGAGGAAGCCTATTTCGAATTTTGAAGTAACATAAAAGTGATGCATTATTTGGAGGAGCTTCCAATGAAAATAACTATATTTATATGTTACTTTATACCTATTGTGGAGTCTTGAAAAGTTTAATACTTTTGAAGGAAAAAATTCTTATTAAGTAACAATAAAAATAAAAATAACCAGATTCTGTTACAAGAAAAATGTATTAATGTGTGAAAAATCGATAGTAAATAAAAATAAATTTTTATGTTAAATAAATAAAAACACAATTCAAATAACAAAAAAAATCATAATAAAGATTATATGAAAGTAAAACACTATTAAAAAGATTAACACAAACGAATTTAATAGGGGGAAAAAACTCAAATACATAATTTTACATTTAATTGTAATCGCTCTGTTTTAAAATAATAATAATTAATTGTAAACAGAATTTGATTTAATCGTGATTGTAATAAAAATTTAATACGCTTAATAATGAAATTTCAAATACAATGCATATGGTTGTTGGTGTTTTTAACTTAAAAATATCAAAACCTTTATTCTGTAAAAACACGAAGTTATGAGGTAAGTTTCAAATATATTATAGATTTTTTTAATGAACAAAAAATAGTTCATAAATATTAATTACCAAAATATGGCACACGAGAAAAAGATTACAATCACGTTTTTGAGTGAAAAGGAAAAAAAATAATAATAATAAATCAAAAATATGTACATACAAAAGAAGAAAAAGAACGCTGTCAGAAGTGGGATTCGAACCCACGCCCACATTCGTGGACCAGAACACTCAAAGCTCTGCATCAGAGTAAGGGAAATTTCCTTGAGTCTGGCGCCTTAGACCGCTCGGCCATCCTGACACAATTGTTAAAGTGATATTAACATTTTCGAACCAATGTCGTAGGAGTATTTTGTACATTATAAACTCTTTTTGCACATTGTAAAGTAGGAAACCCTTACAACTCTTGTTAAGTAGGAAACCCTTACAACTCTTGTTTCTGGACATTATGTTGCAGTTTCAGTTATTACAATTCGAATTAGTCACGTTTGAGTAAAATAGAAAGCTTTGATTCAAATCGAAATAAAGGTATATGAATTTTTTGGTATGAAAATACTGCTGAAGCATGTTGTCATTTCAGTGTCTTGTTAAAATTTGTATTTTTAATCATTATTCATGCTTATCAATACATTTATGAATAGCTACGACAGATGGCGCCATGATTTTCTCACAACTAGTTACGGATGCTTTGTACAATGCGCAGCTACACTTTCAAGCTTCATTTTTAAATTTTTAGGTATATTTGTCGTATAACGCCAACCCCCTTTTTTACGAAAAAATCTGAAATGTTAGTATACATTGCTTTTGTGCTTAGAAGCCATTTATTTGAGGTTTTTTTCCCAGACTTTTGAAAAAATAGTGTACTGGTAGAACTAGAACTCTTTTAGTTCATAAGGCATTTTGATATGCGTAGAAGTCAATTTTTTTATGCTCATCTCTTTTGTTATTTTTAAAGCTATCATTTTTATACCCGGAGTATAACGCGCATTCGTAAATTTCGTTCTTAATTTTTATGTTTAAACTGCGCGTTATACGCCGGAAATTACGGTATATATTTTTTTCTTGTAGTATGAACAGCTACCCTGTTAGGATTCGGTTAAAATTGGAACAATTTTTTTGTTTCCTCTTTCTATATATTTTAATTTATTTCACCCAAGCAGATTAGTTGCGAAACATGAAATAGTTCCTTTCTATGTTTTTAAGTGAGAGACTTGTAACTTATATAACATGAAATTTAGGAGTGTAGGACAAAAGAAATATGAATAACTAACGATTAGGGGCTCCATCATGTAACAGAGCTGATACGCATTAAGTCAAAATCCTTACGTTGTCATGGTGTGGAAATTAGAAGTGGGGGCTCTAGCTCGGCTATCGTTCTCGTTACTTGATCGTCATTTAAATTACGAGGTCCGTCTTATTACTTTGTTCCTAGTGGAACTCGTAAATGAAATATTAATAACTAGCTGGTATACCCGTTCTTCGCACGGGTGAATTGAAAAATTAAACAACACAGATTGAAGGATAAAGAAGTTTTTAATGAGTTAATTTTACGTGAATTTCAAGTTAAACAAAAAAAGCTTTCTGCATATCTCAGCTTTAAAAAAAAAAAAAAAGAGAACCCCCACTTTTGTTAAATTTTAAGTCTGTTGATCTAATAGCTGATAAAAAGGATTTTTTTTATTTGTAACTCTCCGTAACACACTTGAGGGTCGATTTTTGAAAATACCTCGCTAAGCTGATCTCTGCTCAGCAAAAGTAACACATTGTTAAAAGTTTTGTGTAATGAACGCTTAAAATAGTGTAAATAATTTATATCTGAAAGTGTAATACATTAATATTACTTTCTGTGTGTTGTATTTATCTTATGTTAAAATTGTAATATTTGTAAGAAATGCCGTTTCTTAAGTTATAATGGCGATTCAATGAAAAACATAGCGAAATGTTAACGATAGTCAAGTTGACACATGTCTAGTTACTTTCATAGCTCGAGCTTTATTAGAGCTTTGTAAGACCCGCCGTGTAGGGAAGCGATGCACGTTAATATATACTTTATCCACCGCATTATGATTTACAGCATTTTCTTTCATACAATTTTTTTTTTACCACTACATTGAAAATTAAGGGATATACATAAACAAAACACTCCACTTTGTGAAATTTAATCCGTTAGAGCTAATAAATTAAATTTTGACATAAACTATTTTTTCAGGACAAAAATAATAACCTTTGTAATCTGCTGAAAGCGCCGTCAGCTGAAAACGCAATATCTGCTACAAAACTATTCGCCTTCCCCACTAAAATACTCATCATAGAACCCGTGCTGCCATATATCTTGGCAGAGTGGATTTCAAAGAATATTCCTGCTAAGTATTGGTAGAATATTCCTTCTTAGTTGGTGTGGTGTGGTAGTTAGGAGAAGGGGATGTCAGCTCAGGTGTCGTCCACGTCACTTGACCATGGTTCAAAATTACGTGATACGTTGCCAAAAGCCCTCGTGTAGCTGAACAGTGTGATGTTAATATTCACACACTTACTCACTCCAAAAAATACAGTACAGTAGTTATAATTATTTTTATACTTAAAAACGCAATATCTGCCTATTCAATTAAAATTATAGCGTTATAATTAACTACTAACCACAAACAAATTTTGAAAATTTGTCCAAATGATGCAGTGTGAAAAAGAAAGTTTATTAACTTTAAGTAACAGAACTGATAAAAGCATTTATTTTGAAAAAAGATCAATTTCTTACTACCAAATATGCATAATAAAATCATAAAAAAACTTTAAGATAAAGAGAGATTTATAACAACCTCTCCCTTCAAAACTTAGTTTTATTCTGAAATAAAAAATTATGCTGCATTATGCTGATCACAGGAATTAATTAGAAGCGAGCGCCTTGCGTAGCCAAAACAAAAATGATTTTTCACAAACAAAAGATAGATATATGCTGTGGTGGGCTTTTTTGCAGCGCACGCCAGAATTGCTTGCAGATGGCAGAATTTTTTCCTTCTTACTTGACAAATATCGTTTTATTTTGGACACTTCGTACAATATCTATATAAATTATAGCCTATGCTATAAATTATAGCCTATGTGCTATTCTGATGTATAAGCTATATTACTGTAAAGTTTCATTAAAATTCATTCAGTTGTTTTTGCGTGAAAGACCCCAAACATCCTCACAAACTTTTGCATTTATAATACACTCTGTCGCAAAAAAATATATGCACCCAGAAGAAATCAAGCTACAATCACGAAACTCGGCAAGAATGTAGTCTGGTAAGAGATATGCAAATGATTAAAATTTCGAAGCCAATGAGACAAGGCTAAGT